CTGTGCTGCCCCTCTACTCCCTGCCGCCCCAAGGCCAGGCTTCGGTGGCCTTGTGGGAAATCCGGCCCTGATTGCGAGTTGTCACCAGAGAAGGAATAGAGAGAAAATCTTCCCATGGAGACCCCAGAGCAGGAGCGGCTTTGCTTTACTATGAAGAGATTTCCTCTCACTTCCTGTTGTGTCCATTAAGGGGGAGGGGGGGCTTAGGCCCCATTCACACTGAGCGATTCGCAAATCGCGCGTTTGTCGCGCGATATCGCGCAAATGCTTGCATTAAGCAAGCTAGAATCGCGGCAAAATCCGCTCCAAAAAGGGTCCTGCTGTAGCGACGCACGACCCGCGACAGCGACGGACAGAGCCCCATTGCCATGCATTGGAGAGCGATATATCGCGGTAAATAGCCGCGATATCGTGGGAATTACCGCGTGATAAATCGCTCAGTGTGAATGGGGCCTTAATGGGACACAGATGGAAAAAAAAAAACTGCCCTACCCTATTCACAAAAAGCCCGGAACTCTGAGAAACTATAAAAGACCCAAATGAATGCAGCTCATCATTAGCAGTAGCAGTGTAATGAATGTGACCTGGTATCAGCCTCTTTCAGTCGCTGTACAGCAGAGCTCAGACCGGGGGGAAGGGAGAAGCAGCAGCAGGAGCCAATCAGTGATGCACTACAAGCAGCATGCTGACAGGAGGAGAGAGAGCAGAGGGACAGGTGTGCTGCTTCTCCTTTCACTGCACAGTCACAAGCTGGGGGCGGGTCCAGACAACCTGGGCTTGCCGGAAGTGGGTTGAATGACGCTGGACATTGTACTGAGGACATCTAGTGGTAGGAGAGAAGTACTGCGGGGGAAGATCTCTGGACTGAAGGTGAATATTGCAGCAGAAGCTGTTTTTTTGGTATTTTATCTTGTAATGGGCCGTTCATTTTTGTCTTTTTTGTTTAATTTTGTGGCCGGAGTTCTGCTTGAAATAAAATTCTGCTGAGGCCATTATTATCTGACGGGGGCTCCGATAGATCTGCACTGTGAGCTCACACACACACACGGGAGGATGGAACAAAAACACGCAACGTTATCGATTTCCCAAACTCGGCAATGGATTTTTAGGCACACAAACATGCGTAGGCTCTCCTGCGTATATATATATAATCGTGCGTGATGGGGGCTCAGCACCGTCACGCAGCACCAGCCTCTCCCATTCAGTATCAGCGATCTCCTATTCTCTCCATTTATAAGGAGACCTTGACAGAGGCAGCGAGGTGGCCCCGGTTGTTGTGCTGGGTTGCCACGGCGACAGCAGCATCCATTGTGTCGCCGTACTTTGTGCGAGTGTCTCCATAGAGACGGCAGAGGATGGCAGCAACTGTCTATATACGGCGCGGATGCAGCGTACTTGTCGCCCCGCGCTTCAACGTCGACACGGCTAGAAATCCTCTGAAGAGGAGAGGATCTTTACCAAAGCGCGCCGAGCACTTCGCATCACCGCGGGTCGCGTTATAATGTGCGCGGGACGGCGTCTCATCTCCAGACAACAGATCACAGACGGTAGAAGCAATAGCAGGGTGTGAAGGGCGGTAACCCATAGCAACCGGGCAAAGAATGACGTTGTTCTGACCAGCACAACGTCCGTGCTTATGACTAGACATGTAAGCTAAATTCGGTTCGGATATTTCGTTATTTCGGGATTCCGATCCGAAATTTAATTCGGTTCGGGTTTTCGGATTCGGACCAAATCAGAATATTCGTTAGATTCGGATGAGTTGACGAATATGCGTCGGGAATACCACTGAAAACCGTCTACAGATATTATTACTAAAGCTGAAGCTCCCAGACCCGTACGGCATTGGGGATCCGAATTTCCGAATACCATTTGGGAGCTCTCGAATGCAATTCGGAAATTCGGACTCCATTCGGGTCTTGGCGCCTCAGCTTTAGTATTCTGTATATATTATTAGCATTCAACAATAGGAACGAATATTCGCAGCGGCAACATTGCGACCCGAATATACGTAAAACGAAACCTGAGGCTCCCAGACCCCAATGGCGTTCGGGAGCTCCTGGAAGCAAATCGAAAATTTGGATTCAGAGCCCTTCGGATGCATTAAACCGAAAAACCCATCAGATTGGCCAGAAAAGTCACATGTCCGATTGAGTTTAGTTTTTGAACGCAATTCGGACGGGATCCGAAATTTGGAAACGGACATTCGGATTCGGATACATTGGGATTTGGGAATTTCGGATGTGTCAGAATGTCAGAATTTCGGAAAATTGGCACGAATTTTGATTCGGAACGAAACGAATCGCGCGTGTCTACTGATGACGTCATCCGGCGTATCTTGTGATGGAAGGAGGGTCATAGAAAGGCCGTGACCTTGGTGCTTCCTGCAGCCCTTGGCATCAGTGGCGTCACATGGGGGGTGCGGCCCGCACCCGGGTGCCACCATTGGAGGGGTGACACCAAAATGATTGACAGTCACCGCCTATGAAAAGTCGGGCTCTCAGTCACAGACTGAGAGCCCGA